CTAAGATCAATATGATCCAACATAATTAAGACATTTAGTACAGGACTTAATTCTCATTGATAATTCTCAACAAAAATTTGTTATTTTTATCGGTAGCTTTTTTCGTCCGATGGGTACGTGGCTATGAAATATGGCTGGACGTTACTTTGTTGGTAATAAGGTCCTATTCCCATTGTTGAGTTCATGGCAGATGATACACGCATACCTACCACGAAAACATATCTTAGAAAATGATCGGTGTTTAGGAGTAAAATAAATTATTTAAGCGTTTAATGTAATAATTTACAAATACTACCTTGATGCATAGGCGCCATTTTATGGGGTAACGTGGCGGCGTAGCTTGGTGGAATAGCATATAAAGCTGTTCCCAGTGAAGCAGGTGGCCCCCCTTTTATGCTGCAAGCACAACTGCTGCCTGATCCAATTACACCTGGAGCGATTATTGAGCCTCGGGTCACGGGCCCGCCTCTATATTCAGTACTCCCCATACGTAATCTGAAATAAATCGTAAGAAAATATAATATAATATAATGGAAACTGGAATACCTGTATATTATTATACTGTTAGTGTCTACGATAAATGTGGGTTCTATTAAGGTTTATCTTATTAAAGCCTAGGATTACTGAGAAATTTGGAGTTTTGTAAAAGTGAAGACCTTCACTTAAAGTTTAAATTCCAAATTCTACCTTGCCAACACCAACAGATGCAGTTGTGTGAGAAATTAATAAAGATAACAATTGCACAAGGCATTCAGGGTGTCCCAAAATTGTCCGTTTTGAGCGATAATAACTTGCTTAATTCTCTCAGATAAAATATTTAATTTTCTATTGAATGCTATAAAGGTTTCCCGCACCTAACTCTTCATACTATTTAAAATAAAAGTATAAATAACATTATAATTATAATTTTTACAAACACCCAGCATTCCTAGCAATACTATTGTACTACTATACCAGACAAAAAAAAGCAGTCTAAAAATACTGTTGAAACAATTATTTCTTGAACGCCAGTGTTCAAAATGATACCCGTCTGACTTAACACATAAATGCACTATTTTTAAACGCATTAGCAACATTTGACAATACAGGGTGTTCCACCGGGAACCGCCGCGATCGATATCTGGCAAACTATAATTGGGTAAAATTTGAAAATCGAGCAGTATGCCGAAGTCATTCGGGGAAAAAGATCTAAAATATTTTCAAAATGGCCACACTTTCGGTTATACCGGAAGGAGGTATCAACCTGCTTATTTTAAATAGAACACCCTATATATTATTAGATTTTTAAAATCTGCTCCAAATTCTAAATATATTTCATGTATAATATTTTATGCCTAAGTCTAACCGCTTTTTATATATTTGAAAGTTTATGTAAAAAATGACAGTTGCAACTATTCGAACAATTATTCATTTTTTCTATAAGGGAATATGTGCTACTTAATTATAATCGCATTTATTGTTGAAAAGGACTTACTTTAATGAAATGTGGACCAAATTTTGGTCACAAAAATGCGACAAAATAACATTATATGAAAACATTAAATTGACAATATTTCGAAAACTAAACACTTTTTGCATAGACAACTTTATACTGTAACGAAGGTTACTAAAATTTTCTTTCTTTCCGGTTAATTTAAAACCAACGCCAAGCAAACTTTAATTTTCAAGGGCCCAATAGATGCATATTTATTTGCGTGTTAGATTGTATTTGCGATTGTAGCAATAACTGAATTCCAGGTCGGATTCCACGAACGATTTCGTTGAAGGTCGACTAAAAGTTCTGTCCGGCAAACGGTAAGCCAACATTCGCCCCTACCCCCAAAACCCCCAAATTCAACACCAAAACCAAACACAACCAAGCCATCCTCTCTGAGCTTAAAGCGCTTCGTCAGAAAGAGCGCATACAAGCCGAAATCATCGTGGCACAAGGAGCTCTTCCAAAAACTACAACTCCTAGAAGCCCACGAACTCCCCGCCCAACAAGCTCCAGCAAAGCCTTCAGCTGAAGCTGAGCAAATGGAAGTCGAGGACTTCCCAGCCCTAAAACCAAAAGCCCCCTTAAATCTCCTCAAAACATCCAACGCCGTTCTACACCATCATATGGAGCAAAAAGCCGCTGCTCCCCAAAGCCAGGCCTCTTCCAGTGCCACTTTGGACCAAGCTTCTCCCCCTACCTCTGCCCCAAAAAAGCAAGCCATTCCTGTCGTCATCAGGAATGTGTCCTAGTGGACAAAACCCCGCTCGCTCTTGCTACAGCACAACTGTCAATTTGCCAATCCTAAAAAAGTCCACCTAGGGATCCAAATCCACCCCCATTCAATTGATGACCATAGAGTCATCACCAAACTTCCTAACCTCCTAACCTTGGCGGTAGTCATTAACACTCCTCGGTCAGCAACCTAAGGCCAACATTCCTCAGTGCAAAAAATGCCAAAAGTTTGGACACACAATGGCCAACTGTGGAGCAAAACCCGTTTGCCACAAATGCGCCCAAAGTCATTTCTACGCGGAATGCAAAAAACCGAGAGACATCCCGGTTAAATGCAGTAACTGCGACGGCCCCCACCCGGCAAGCTACTTTTCTTGCCTAAAAAACCCAAACTCCACTGCTCAAAAGCAGGAAAAGGCCAAACAGGCCAGTTTCCAAAACAAGGTCTCGTCTGGAATTTCCTTCGCCGCCAAAGCGGCCCAAAAATCTGAAGCTCCCAAAACAGCAGCCGCCCAAAGCCTCTTAGTACCAAAAATTGCCCGCCCAACAACCCCCCCTTTGCCAGCCCACCAAAACACCAACCTGAACTCCGCCTTGATCCAACTCCTTCTCATGCCTGAGAGCGAAATTCAGGTCAAAATAAACCGCATTGCGGCTATGCTAGGAAATGTGCCAGCTCTTCAAGCTTTGGCATGAATAAAATAAAGCCAGCCGGAGTCCACATCGTTTCCTGGAACGCCAACTCATTCTACCCGAAAAGGCATGAATTCCAAGGCTATCTCCGGGAAAACGATGTGGACATTGCAGTTCTTCAAGAAACCTTTTTACAAACTAAACTCAAAATTAATAACTATAAAATTTACTACCCAATTTTTTAGAAAACTACCCAATTTTTATAACTTCGGCCTACAAACCCCCCAACATAAACCCAACTGTACAAGACTATGACAACCTTTTCCACAAAAACATCCCTACAATCCTCGCAGGAGACTTAAACTCCAAAAACCCCATTTGGGGTTGCAAGTCTCCCAACAACGAAAGCCGAAAACTTAACAAATACTCACAAGGTCTACACTTCCAAATTAACGCTCCCTCAGACCCAACTCACTACCACTACAAAACTCCAGACATACTAGACATAGCGCTGACAAAGGACATTTCCCACTCCGTTAACATACAGAACTCTGAATCACTCAGCTCCGATCACAACCCCATAATCATTGACATCAACGAACAATACACAAACAACCCTTTAGCCCCAATTACATACACCGACTGGAACGCCCTCACTAATTACCTGGGCGAGATTCAAACTCAGGACCACTCTCCCAAAAACGCAAAGGAGCTTAACTCCATTTCAGAGAAAATCTCAAATTCTATCTCTGCAGCCCTTGCAAAAGCCAAAAGCCAAAAACCAAACGGTTTTCCGCCAGAACTTAAACAACTTATTAAAAACAAAAACAAACTAAAACGCAGAGCCAAGCAATTCTCTGATGCTATTCTCAACCAAGAAGCAAACCACCTCACTAAACAAATACAAGTTCAAATAAAAAACGTTTAAAACGAAAAGTGGTCCGAGCTATTGAAAATCATCCTAACAGGCGACAACGTCTCCACGGAACGGGTTCCACTGGAATCATTTTCCTGGACATAGAAAAAGCTTTCGACAAAGTATGGTACGAGGGCTTGGTTTGGAAACTCCAAAACATCCACAACCTACCCCTAACCTTTTAACAGTTTGTGGCAAACTTTCTCCACGAGAGAAAGTTTTTCATAACTCTGAACGAAACAAAATCCTCCATCTGATCCATAAAAGCAGGTGTCCCACAGGGCGTCTCGCTTTCCCCAACTCTTTACAACCTATACACAGCTGATGTTCCAAAAAGCCCCCATTCCAAAGTTGCTCTTTTCTCTGATGACACGAGCCTCTATTATAGTAATAAAAACATCAACTACATAATCCCACCCTTACAACGACACTTAAACACTTTCCAAGCCTGGGC